CGACATTTTTAAGCAAATCAGTAAAGAGATTGGTGTTCTGATAAAAATTTGAGTGCTTTTAAAGGATACCATATGATCGAGAAGAACAACTGACTGCGGTGCGTCCAGTACCACAAATTTCATTACCGGTGCCCACGACTCCACTGTACTTGTTTCTCGTTCGATCTGTATCAAGAAAGTGTCCGTTATGCAGCTGTTTCGCAGTACACTGATTATTTAAAGAAATTAAAATAAATAGCGGGGTGCACCAGGGTAGCCATGCCACCACGCGCTTTGCGCAGTTTCGAACAGCTGGTGTTTGCCTCCTAAGGGCTTTCACTGTTTTACCCTTTTGATCTGTGAAAAAGTAATCTATATGCCGTTTAGTTCTTAAGTTGTGAAATTTCCCATTGGAAATTACACGTGCCAGTAAATGAGACGCAAGCGTACGTGAAAGCTGAATTTGAAGCCTTGGACGATGAACATTGTTCCAGAATTTTAGACTCCTAGTTTTCGGGCTTTCGAGTAACTTTCGTGCAGAAAATTTCATATGGTTGTACCTGAGAACTCGTCATATGTGGGAGCTAAATTTGAGTTTGCTAGGGCCCATCGTAGGCAGAAAACGTCTTCCCTGAAGTTTTCAGCCTCTTAGCTCCTCGGTCCCGAAATAATAATTTTTCCTGCTAAAACTTTCGCTGGGCGTATGTGAACCAGGTATGTGGGAGGGTTTAAGCTTGCTGGGTCGCAGTTGGGCGGGAGGCATTACTCTAAGACTTCAGCTTCCCAATTTTTGTGGTTCCCGAGATAATAATTCTCCTCGCCAAAACTTCCGCGGGGTTGTACATGGTACACGAAAGTACGTGAAAGCTGAATTCAAGTTTTTGGGGTCGCTCGTGGGCGGGGAACATTTTTCTAAAGTTCCAACTCCCTAGCTTCGATGGTTCCAGAGTTGAAACTACAGGATAAAATGCACTCGGAACACACACTGGGTCTCGACAGTATGTGTTTGGTGCAGCTGTTGCAGCATGAAACGCATAAAGACGTGAACTGTGTCTAATAAAAGTAAAGACCGAGTAAGTCGGCCGATATACAGTGGCAACGAGAGCAGCTGGTGGGTTTGAGTACAATTGTGGACAACTAGTCTTTCTGCGACTCGCTCATCCCTTTCGACAGTACTATTGCATGCCAATGAGTTGCAGTCAGCTGGCTTCTAATCAACTCCTGATAATGGGTGAAATTGACAGTTATGCCAACGCATGGCTGTTGCTGGTACATGTCATCAATCAGGTTACTTCAGCGTGCCTCCCCTTCTGAAAGGCAACGAACCACGGTGGGGTTTTTCATTTTATTTTCAATACAGAAAAGGTAATCCTTACAGCAGTGACAATTTGTGATATATCTTCTATATGAATAGTCCACCGCTCCTGCACGTCCTTCTTCATCCACGGAGTTAGATCAAAATCCCAGAGATGCTCTGAACTTATGCTCAGCTCTGTTACCTCGAACAGTTTTGCGCCAAATCGACGTGCATTCAAAACTACATCCTCCAAGGAGCCACTCGCACTGGTTTCATTGATACCGATATGTACAAAAATAATTTGCACAATATAATGAGCGCTCAGTGCTGCCGAATCCCAAATCAAACGCTTCTGCAGAGGAAAAAGCAAGTTTGAGTGGAAGATTTCAATACATTCTTGGCGTGGCTGGGTCTCATGTGCCTCATTGTATCACGGTTTTGCTAACATCGCTCGACTTTGGTAGAGAAATGGGATGAAGAGTCCGAACCTGTTGACTGGGTGATAGTGCAACGACTTCCTGCAGCTGCATTCGCTGCTTCAAATCACGCCTCACGATTGCTGAGAGATGGCTTGTATCAAGAAGAACATCACTTATCGCTGTCAGCATACGATCCGCAAGCTCTGTTTTTTCTACAGAGTTCAGTACGTATGCCCAATCGTTGTCAAAATAAATGCGATTTCCAGAATATGGCCATACTGCCTCGTCAATTACAGCAACATGCACTCCAAACAGGCCAGGTTTTTCCAGTTCGTTCTTTGATAAGATTCCCTCATCCTGGAATTTCAACAGCCATTTGCTTGTGTCTACATTAGTATTTAAAACCATTTTAGAAAATTCAAGATAATCAACGGCACAAAGAAAATAAAAAGAAATGAAATGGAGATGAACAAAAACAAGGAAAAATAACGCTGAAAGTCCCGCTCCGCTAATCTTTACAAATGGGAAGAACGTCGCAAAAAGTGGCTTGTTGTATTATTACCAGAAAATATGGCGGAGCAACTCGAATCGTCGCGTTGTAACATTATCTCACCGATGAGATTACTACTGCATAAGCAACCAATGCTCCGTAAATCCAAAACCTGCAACTAACCGTGTCTTCATAACGCAGTTTAAATATGAGACGTAGCTGGTCGATTTTCGGAAGCTCAGACAAACTACGCAGAAGATCAGCTGCAGCCCTTTCAACATACTGCTTCGTCGAGGAAAACGAACAAGCCACAGTTATATGCACCTGGAAGACATCACAGCGGTACATGTTGCTTGGAAACTTGTGACAGAAGATAGCGGTACCCATTGCTTCGGATGTTTAAAGGCATTTTGAGAGCAAGGACTGGAGATTTTAGAGCTTTCTGAAGGAGGAGGTAGAACGAACCGGCAAAATTATTTGTTGATGAGGCGAGAAAACGGAAAAAGGAACGCGATATGTCGAAGTTGTTTGCCACCACAACGGTACACCGAACACAAGCATGACAATAATAAATGAAACAGCTGAAATCCTTCGAATCGGTAACTCAGCACGATCTTCAGCAGTGAGTGCAAACGCCTGCAAAACACCTCAACTCACTGCAACTGCGCAGCGACTATTATCAGAAAAGCCAATCTGCTGAGGTGGCACCAAATCAGAGTCTGAGAAGAAATGCTCCACAAAATTCTGCACAGACTAACTTCAGTACATTTGAAACAGTAAAGCAAGGAAGCTTTGAAGACATCTTCAAATAACAGTCAGAATACCGTTTTCATGCGTTCCTCCCGAACAGAACTGCTCGACGCTCCCGTGGCACTCGGTTCAGTCTCCATTTGTAGCAGTAGAGCTGAACCACCGCACAAATCGCTCTATCTTGCTATTGCCCTAGAAAACGAAAGAGATAACGAAACATCACTTGCTTTGCTTTGAATGAACTGCTTTTCAGTTAACTTGCCTCAGACGGCGGCACACCGACAACAAACCACAAGACGAAGAGCACTTGCGAGACGCCAACTACAGCTTTACAGAGGAGAGACTCCTGCAGTAAATAAACTATCTCCGGACCCGTCATCGACCAGCACTCCAAGATCGAACGAAACGAGACTCGACTACCATCCAAACTCCCTGAAACGACCCATGACAGGCCCCACACATCGCAGTGTCGCAGCTGAACCTGATTCTGTCCGCTGTTGCATCTTTGCCGTAAAAAGCAGCTATGAAAAAGCGTTCCACTCCCTTTGTAGCACAGAAACTTACTTGAACACATTCACCGGCTGTCGTTTACCCTGGCATACCTTTGCGCCATCAATGTAGCATCGTGAACTTACGCCCGAGGCTACTGGGACCCACTGCTGCAATAGGCGACCAGTCCCAGTTTAACAGCGAAAAGAAAAAAGAAAAATCGGCCCCGAACATCGATAAAAGTCTCTGCCAAGTCAGCAGGCACAAGTAAAAAATTTTTATCTGATCACCTGCATGCACCGATGCCCTCCGGTACAGACACCGCAGATTCGCTTGAAACACACACACACATACCGATATACAGAAGGCTATGCATTTTATATACAAATAACGCGTCGCAATCAAAACCAAATGGTGTACGAGAGAATATCAACGGTCTGAAAGAAGAGATGGCAGAAGAGATGGCGATGAAGTAGTTCGATCCGTGCAATCTGAATCGGCAACGAACATATCATGAAAGATTCGGCGGCGAAGAGCACTAATTAGCAATCACCATTCAAATTACGTATGTACAGAACAACAGGGCGTCTTTTTGACCACTGATTACAGGGAGAGGTATTCTTACTTGCACAGGCATCTGGACATAATCCGTGCTGGACATAATCCGAACAATGATTTCCCTCCCCCCCCCCC